GTGTGGTCCTGCAGTGGTGGCACATCTGGCAAGGTGCACCGTGTGGTTCTGCAGTGGTGGCACATCTGGCATCTGCACTAGATGGTTCTGCAGTGGTGGCACATCTGGCAAGGTGCACTGTGTGGTCCTGCAGTGGTGGCACATCTGGCAGAGTGCATTGAGTGGTCGTCCTCTCCCTGCCTTAAGTTCATCTGCTGCTTTCTCCTGCTCCTTTCTTTCTATTGACTGGGTTTTTAAGTGAAGATGCTCTGATGTCACCACTGAAGGTCAGTGCATGTGCTCATGTCTCACCAGAGACTGTTTCCATGGATAGCAACAGTGAGCCAGTGGCTCCACGGTGTTGATGCCTTTCTACCGTATGGCTGAAATTTAAACAAATCAGGATGGTATTGAATCTTTCAGCCACCTACACACTTGAAGTAAGTTGGTGCTGATGTATCATGTCCACCCCTGGTGTGCATAGTACTAATTAGAGGGCAGCTGGAGCCCTAGGCACGCTGGTCACGTCTGTCATTGCACTGCATGCACATCTTCCCCAGTCCTAAAAGACCAGACAGTATTTCCTTTAAAACGAGATAGAATGCTAGCTGGTTAGGTTAGTGAATGTTCCCCACAGGCACACCCGTCCTCAGCATGTTGGTTGCTCCCCATCTGCTGGGCTCTGCCCTTACTAACAACGGCAGCAGGCAGCCTGCATGGTCCACAGGAGTAAATGACCCAGAATCATACTTTTCTGCTGTCATGAGATGCAACAATCTCCCACAGACCCTTGAGCCTGGTCCTGCTCTGTCCAGACAGGCTGCAAAGTCTTGGGTAAATCCAAGTCTGGGGGATTCCAGTGAACCAGACAACCGTTTGCCTTCTGGGTTTAGCCACTTTGCCACCATGGCTTCAGGTCCCAGCTACTATAGATCTGACTGAAGCCTAAAACACACGACACGGTCAAGCTTTAGTTATAGTGAATAAACTATAATGGTTCCTTGTCAACTTAAAGGCATGAATTGGTCTCTGCCATAAATTCTGTTCATGGTTCTTTCCTTACTAGATCCATCTGTGTGTGCACATACATGCACATGTGAGTGTGGGAGCATGTGCAAGCATGTGGGAGTGTGTGGGAGCATGTGGGGAGGTCAGAGGACAACTTCGGCTTCTCACCTTCCATCTAGTTTGCCACAGGCTAGCTGGCCTGAAAGCTTCTGGGGGTCCTGCTAGCTGTACCTCCCACCTTACCACGAGGCTCTGGGATTATAGACATACCACATCACTACATCTGGCTTTTACATGGGTTCTGGGGGTTTAAAACTTAGGCCCACATCTTGTGCAATAAGTACCTTAGCTACTGAGCTGTATCTTGAGCCCTTCTGTGCTTTTGCATAATGAGCTGTCTCATGCTTCAGAGGGTTCCAGGCCTCACCAGCATGTGCAGTGACTGAACACTAGGCCTTAAGATGAAGGATCACCCATGTCTGGTCATCTGCATACAAAAACTAGTGAGGGCTTACTGTAGTATCCTGTGAACAGGGTTTGCTCTCTCTCCTTTGGGTGGTTATATAGGTCCTTGGTCTAAAAATGCATTAAGCTGTAAGGTATACACACACAGGTATTAATGATGTCTGCAGCAATGAGAGCCCTTCCTTTCAAAGCTCATCAGAAAAACAAAAACTGCCAACTTCTCCTTAGAGGTGTGTGAATGTTCCAGAAGGCCAGAGAAACATTCTCTCATACCTCTAGGATGCTCTGTGTTCCTCTGCCACATGAGCATCTATTAGCCTTCCGTGTGGAGTGCAGCTGAGCTAACACCAGTAGAAATCCAGCAGGAAACACCTCAGGTTGGGGAGGAAAAGCAGGCAGCGACCTCAAGGATGCTTCTGTGATCTGGCTGTAGAAAGAAGCTGAGAAAAGCTCAGGCCCTACCCTTGACTCTGACCTGCGGGGTCTGGAACTCTGCGAAGCTGTTGCAAGTGTCTGAGGGGTTCCCACTGTGCAGAGGGGCTGAGGACAGTATCCCTCACCCCTGCTTTGCCAGGACAATATGCTAGAATCTTCTTGGATGCTCATGTGGTAAGATCCACTTCAAACTCACGCAGCCAAGGCATACCCTCTGTTCTGCCTTCAGAGTTCACGGCAGGAAGAAGCTACACCTAATCCCACCTCAGTGGCCACCCAGGCTCCTGAAGGAGTCCAAAGTTACCCAGCTCTCACACAAGCAGATCCCATTGTGCTGATGCTCAGCCAGCACCTGTGGAGCTGGAGATGTGAGGCTGCCTGAGGCCAGAGAGAATGATGCCCTGCTTTGGAGTGATGCCGAGCAGTGCAGTCCCCTACTGAGTTAGGCCACTCCTACTGAAGGCCAAGGCATGAGGGCCTCTGCAAGGCAGTGTTGTGTTCTTCCCAGCACACCCACCCTTTCCTTCCTTCTTCCCTCCCTTCTTCCTCCCTCCCTGCTTCCCTCCCTCCCTCCTTTCCTTCCTTCCTCCCACACTCTCTCTTTTCTTGCTCCCACCCCTCCTCCCTCCCTCCCTCCCTTCCATTTATCCTTAGTCCAGCATTCCCTCGCCCTAAGGCCTGTGCAGTACCCTTGTCTCCTCTACCACTGCCGGGAGCCTTAGCGGCTTCTCCTGAGAGGTCCTCTGTCTGGGGCTCCCCTGCTCTCTTGCTCTTTTCACCCCTTCCAAAGGCCTCTGGTGCCTCAGGAATCACACGTGGGCACACAGCACAGGCACTGAGAACCGGCAGCCTCCTGCCTCACCCCAGGTGGTAGGCTGAGTTTTCTCACAGGCAAGACTGCACTTCCTTCTTCTTGGCCTCAACAAGGAAGCTCAGCTCTGTTTTACCAGAATAGGGTCTGTGCACTGAGTGTCCACATGGCTGATGCTAAACGCCCACCCTTGGGGTGGATGGCTGGGAGCCCCAGAAGGCTCAGTTCCTACGACTGTCTCCTCCCCCCGGGGGCCTTTTCTTCCACACTGAGTTATGTGGCTCCTCTTCTATTTTTACTAGAGACTATTTTTAGATCCATTTTATATTCATGGCAACATTAAAAGAAAGGTGCAGAGATTTTTAAACACCCTCCCACGTGTAGCCTCCTAGTCGAGGAGAGAACACGGTCTTCTCAGCCACCTCTTGAGTCTAGCCGTGAGCATCTTAGCAGCTTCTTGGGCCTGTAATTATTTGAGGGCCCCTTGGCCTAGAGATGTTAGCACATTCTTTACAGCAGATGAGCCTTCCTGATACCATGCAGTCTGCAATTCACACTGCGGTTCACACTCAGCGTGGGGCGTCCCGTGGGTCTGGACAAGCGTGCAATGGCACACATCAGTTGGTATAATGCCAAGCACCACACTGTCCCAAACATCTGTCCTGCCCACTGTGTTGTCCCTTTCGTGTCCCCAGACCTTGCCAGCCTGTGATCATTCTTACTGCCCAGGAGTTGGTTCTTCTTTCTCTACAGTGTCGCAGAGTTAGCGTAAGCCGTACAGACCCCTTTCCAATTGACTTCTGTCCTCATAACATTGCACTGACATCCTCTTCATGTCTGGTCACTGCTTGGCAGCTCATCTCTGTCAACATGGAACAGTATCCCGCATCTGGAAGCAGCATACAGTATTCATCCCTTCGCCTTCCAGAAGGTGCTGGGTTTGGTGGCTTCCTAATTTTATTAGTGTGCTGTGAGCCTCCATAGGCAGGTTTCTGTGTAAATGTCTGTTTCCGCTCCTCTGGGTAATTACCAGGAATGTGGTCCCAGGAGCATATGGGAAGCACTGACATGGTTTGTAAGGAACACTCCAAGAAGCTTCCAAAGCAGCTACTCCTTTTTGCATTTCCAGCAGCAGGGAATCACAATTCCTGGTAAGCCGACGCGCATCATCGCTTGATGACATCAGCCCCATAGAGTGCCACCACCCTTCCAGTGCAGCTCTTCAGAGTAAAGGGCTCAGTGAGCTAGTTTGCAGATGCCGACTGAGGCATTATAAAATACCTGGAGAGGCAACAGGCCTCTCACAGCAAAGCGGAGCACAGCACAGCAGAACTGCATAGCACTGCACAGCAGCACAGCACTGCACAGCAGCACAGCACTGCACAGCAGCACAGCACAGCAGCACAGCACAGCAGCACAGCACAGCAGCACAG